CTCCTCAGCTTCATGTTGCAAACATCTGATGTGTCGAGAGCCATTTCCCATCCTCACGATCATGAATAAAAATCACTACTCAAGACCGTCAATTCAACTCAAACCACCACACGCTTCTAACACTTCAACGCCACATGCATTTCATTAACCAACACGTACTCATTTGCATGTCACGTTTGGTTAAAAGCTGCAATTTGTTATCAGTCAAACACCAGTTCGCGTTAAACTTCAAAAGGGGGCACGCATGCACAAGCTCGGATGATGTCATCGTCTGTAGTCACACCGGCAGAAATGCATTGTGGGGGTGCAGATCAAACAGAGGAAAGGCGAGATGATGGTGGTGGGTACCTTAATCCCATCCACTGCATTATGGATGACAGTGGTCTGTGCCTCCTACAGAGCGACAGAGGAGGAGGGGTGGAAAAACATGAGTAGAAAAGAGAAAGAGAGAGACTGTGTGTGTGTGTGTGTGTGTATATGGACCAATAAAGATTAGATCAAGAAAGACAGAGGGAAAGGAATAACATAATTATGCAAGACGACGCTTTGACTGTCTCCATCAGAAATGATGAATTGCGTAGTGTTCAAAAACTGATAGTCGCTGCAACAGATTAGCACTTCAAATCAGTCTCATCCTCACGCCTCGCTACAGGAGACACAGATCTGCTCCATGCATTCATCATTCATCAATTCAATCACCCCACAATTCCAATGTAAGGGAAGCAGGCAGAGGTTATGACCTTGGGCATGTCGTAATGTACAAGCTGATCAGCAGAGATGAAGGCATTGTTATGGGCGAGTCAACACAGGTCACAGGTCATTGATCTGGGGCGTTTGTGTCAAGAGGTCGCATTGACTGGACAACATCCATGAAATCAAACATTAGACGTACATGCGCTGCCGTATCGACTCCAGTCATTCTCCTGAACAGTCCTGTATTGACTTCAGATGAAATCAAGCTCTGGAGACAATGGTGGTCGATGGGAAATTTATACATGTGGTAAACAAACACATGAATGTACAACCAATCATGAGGCTGCAGACAGACTGTTGTATTTACTGCACAATCTGTGCTTTGTGTGTGTGAAATTGACAGCAATTTGAGTGAAATTAGCATTAACGTAGCAGTGATTTCTTCATTTATGTCAAGATTACACTTAAAAACCTGCATGGTATAGCAATAAATACTTTGTATCCTGGCATATTTGCCTAGGTATACAACAGCTAAACGTGTGTTTGTGTGTCTGTGTGTGAACTTTGTATAGGATTATGTGTTTAAGGTTGCATAAAGCCTTGAATAAACTCCATAATGAATACATCAATTAACATTACTTGGTATATTTGACTCATAAACTGGATCTCTGCTTCTTCAGTGTCTGTCTCTGTCACTGACTGCTGTTTATATGACATAACGAAGCAGAAGCAGCAAATAATAGCACACGCATGAGCCAATGGTGAGCGGTGACAACCAGCTCATTTGCATTTAAAGGCACAGGCCAAGAAAACAACTACAATTTCCTCAGATCACAAAATTCCTAGAGTCATCAGGGTATGATAAGTGATCTGATGGGTATTTTCAGCTGAAGCTTTACAGACACATTCTGGAGAAACCAAAGATTGAGACCTTACATCTTAAAAAGGGGTATAATAGGAGCCCTTCACAGCACACGTCTGCATAGGGTTAGGGTTAAGGGCGAGAGGCAGCTGGCGTAAATACACAGTCTTTGTTTTTGTTTACTCCATGTAGTTTTGAGAGCTGAGATGCATATTCTGATTTTCTCAGACGCATCAAGGTAAGTGTGCAAAGGTCACTCTAACACACTCACAGACACACATACACACTTTAATTGGCTGTTTTACTCATATAACTCCATATGAAATCCAGAAAGTTTTTTATTTTTTTTTCTTGCACTGGCATATCTAAAGAGTTAATGCCATATGATGATCACACACACACACACACACACACACAAAAAAAAAAAAAAAATATTTTATCTCTACGCAACAAGGTAAACCACAAACAGCTGCATGATTATATGA